CTTTTTATGGGAAGTTACAAAAAATAAAAGAAAGAAAAAGAAATTATTGATCACCAAAAACGCCTCAAAGGTTATTTCTGTTGTCTGGAAAACAATAATTTTCAGAGGGCATGCCCGGACCCCTAGGGTAGTGTTGATCAGCCCCCTTTTGGACATCTCTGGATACACCCTTGCCGATTGTTTGATTTTAATGGCGAGTCGAGTGGCCGAGCGGTAAACCAGGGGCGCGCTACCACTGTACAGCCTTAACTTCGATGCTTGTTCGAGCCGCCTAACCCAAGGTTTGGTTGGTAGAACAATGTTTTCTCAGATAAGGACTTAAAGCCGAAGGTCCACTGTGTACCCATCTCGCTCGTTTGCATACGTATACATACAAATTATAATGCGTAATAAAAAAAATGTGCTGTTCCTGTTCTTTCTTTATGGATGGGCTTCTTTTCGAGATGGGACTCTTTTTGAGGTGGGCTTCCTATCTCGAGAGAAGCCCATATTATATTGATTAGAAGTCCATGTACTTCTTTTCGAGATTATCTTGTGCAAATTGAATAGGGGGGGTCGAGATGGGCTTCTCAAGATTAAGCCCATGGGGCTCTATGCGAGGTTTATTGTATTCATCCGAGAACCTTGATATGAAATAGGCCTACTATTTTTGCCTAGTTACGATACCATACTATCAATAAGAAATGACCACTCCTTTTCTATTTAAATGGTTCAATTAGTAGGAATATTTATAGGATATTTATAGACTAATTTCATTTTATTTCATTTAATTTCTTTAGGCACGAGCGCCTAGGATATGCCAATAAGTGAACTTCATCACTGTCCTACGTGGCATATCCATTTAACATCAGGGGACTTAATGGACCAGTACACCGGGGTAACCCCCTACTCTTCTCAAAGGATGTACTGGGTTCTTTAAAGTGCACACGAGCCAAATGCGTACATTGGTCCTACGGTTTAAAGTCCTTATCCGAGAAGACTTGTTCCACCACCGGAACCATTGGCGAGTGAGCCGTTCGAACCAGCGCCGATATTTAGCTAAAGGTTACGGTACGGTGCCCCTGACTTAACCACTCGGCCAATCAACTCGCCAATTTCTGTCAGTTAAGATGTATACACGATGTAATATTAAAATCACGAGAAGTAATCCCTGAGGGAGGAAAAAAATATGTATTGCCTACATATAGTAGACTCTAAAATCGATTAAATAAGCCTTTGGAACACTATCAAAGGATTCTGAGCGACCCCTTCGACCATGCCCCTTCAGAGATATCAGACACCCCAATCCCCCTCACCCGTAGGGAAAATCCTGGCGCTACCCCTCATTCTAACTTTTATTGGTGGAAAGCACCTGTCAATCGCTGGTGGTTAATATTGCAGAACTGTTGGCATGCTGTATTTGCATCATTAGAATTTAACACGTTTTCCCATGGTTGTGCGTCCACCTCTTGCTCATGCTGTTGTTGAGGTTGATGTAGAGAAAACTTGAACTTTATAAAGAATAACATATCTGTTAATCTGTTTGTAACGTTTCTCGGATGTATTATTGTAGAAGGGAAAATGATCTGAAATAACTGATATTAGAATACCTGTACGTATTAATGGACATAGAATTTTAATATATATATATATATATATAGGCCTAATAGTATTATACTGTTATCACCTAACCCACGTGGACCTATCGATTAGTGGTCTAAACGAGTAGGAGAGAATACTGTCTACGTGACTTTGGACACTATCGTCCGTTGAGTTGGGAGGAGGTTCCGAATTACAGTCTCCTGCTAAGGTAAGCTTGTTTTGGTTTGGTTTTTTTTTTCTATTTTTTTCTCATTATTAATAATCTACATTACTAAAGAAAGTTGTTCATTAAGTTCATTAATTCCTGATTTGGAAGGTCTATAAATAACACACATATAATTGATTTATTATTTTTAATTTCTATCGCAATAATAAGATTCGGCATTAATAATCAATGAAGGTCGTTGCGTGGTTTATAACATACATTTTCAAATAAATAAAATGCTACCCCACCAACTTTTTCCAATCCTGTCTTTATGTATAAATAATTATTGGGGTGATTTGTATAAATCTGTTTACCTGTAAGCCATGTATTTTGTCCTTTATGTAATTTAATTGTATTTAACGCGACGAAGTGACCGAGGAGTAGTAATTTCCATACCCGAAAAATATCTAGGCCTATTAGGCTGAAAAACTGCATTTATTTTTAGACAATATCAGTAATATTAAAACAATAATTTCTTTGATGTATCAAATCATCACTTACTATTTCCTGGGGTATTATTAGGAGAGTATTACATGCTGGGTAGTGATTACAGAAGCTCGGGGTTCCTACGGGACCTTTTATGGCTAGGGGCTGGGAGCTTTACCCGCGAGAGCTCATGGCGTTACGCCACTGTGAATACCCATCACAAAAACTCCCTTAGCTTCATTTGTACTATACTATCCCTCAAATAAATATCCCGCTTATTTTTTCCTCGAATAACTCCCCCTGCCCACACCCCAGAACATATGGAAACCAAACCAGTGTCAATAATTTACTCTAGTAAAACTAAATTTACTGATACCCTGAAACGCTCCGGGTGTTTATTAAAATAAATACGGTATATCTCTGTATGCTCACTTTTCTCCTTAGCCTCAATAATGTCGGGATTTAAGAATATTTGATTTCAGGTCAAAGTCCGCAAACACGCAAACTAATAATTAGTTCATAAACGAATTCCCTACAGCATGCACGCAGCCATCAATACGATTTTAATAAGGATCTTTACCCGCAATGGCGTCGTTATCCATTCAGATCTTCCATTATGACTATCTAGTGTAAATTTTAGCAAATCAAATTCAGAGCGGAAATTGCTTGATTATCTTTCTAGTTTGTCATACAAATCGAGGTTATGAATGCACAATTTTGATGTGTACAAACACACACATACACCCATAT